CACTGAGTGTCTTAGTAACTTTCTTCACAAAAGATCTTAACTTGGACTTAGGGCACCCAATGTAGCATGGTAGATATATATAATACCCCTGATACAGCAAGTCCACATATCCAACTTTGTTTTAGCACATGAATGAAGCTTCTCAAAATCATTCTCAAACTCAGCTATTTAAAAAAGTATAGAAATCCAGTCTGCCAAAAGTCTTACATCAGAAAAGTAACATAAAAGAATTTGAAACATGTTAATTCCTTCAGCCTGTTCCAATATCCTCCAAACATATACATAAGAAGGTGCAGCATGATGCAAGCCACCTTTGAAGAACAAGCTTGTGAACAAGCTTTTCTTTATGGCTATCATTGACCAAGGAAATGGAACATTTTGCAACCTAAATGCTAGCAAAAACACATAATAAATCAGTTTTGAAGGCAGAAGCACAATCAAGTCTGTAATATTTAATGGTAAATTATACTTTCAAAAATATGTATCTTTAATATGAAATATTTGAAGAGAAAATTTAAAAAGATCTAATTCAAATATCAATCTTTCCATTTAAGTCCACATACTTAGTCCATGTTGATGTTATTGCTAGCACCTCTAATAGGCTACATACTTTATAAAAGCAATTCCACTTCTGTCCCTCTCCCCCTACTATCAGTGTATCAACCACACAATAAAGCAACTAATCTCCACGATGCTATGTGTATATGGAAAATCCATCGACTGAGCATCCTTGGACTTGCTAACCCTTAAATGGCTGACCTCAAACGGACAGTAATACAGATAGTCCTTGCTTAACGATGATAATTGGGACTGTCGCTAAGGAATGCAGTCGTAAACTGTGACATCATGTGACCGTGGCACTTAGCGACAGCAATTCCAGCAGTCCCGTTACTATTGTTAAGTGAGGACCGCACATGACCATGACTTCCGACCTCCTGCTGGCTTCCCCCATTGACTTTGCTTGTGGGAAGCTGGCAGGGAAGGTTGCAAACCGCAGTCATGTGACTGTGGGACGCTGCAACGCTCGGAAATCTGGGCCAGTTGCAGATGTGAGTTGCAATCACATGACCGCAGGGGCACTGCAACGGCCAGAACTTCAAGGACCAGTCATAAGTACCACTTGTTCAGCTCCTTTGCAAGTTCAGTCACTGAATGAGCAGTCATTAAATGAAGATCACCTGTATTGTTCTCTGATTTACATTATTTAAAAAAAATGTTAAAAATTAAAATTAAAACATTAAAAATTAAAATTAAATTTGTATTAAAGAAATGAGAGCCAGTTTGGTCTAGTGGTTAAGGCACCATACTAGAAACCTAGTTCTAGTCCTGCCTTAGGCATGAAAGCTGGCTGGGTGACTTTCGGCCAGTCACTCTCTCTTAGCCCAACTCACCTCACAGGGTTGTTGTAGGGAAAATAGGAGGAAGGAATATTAGGTATGTTCACTGCCTTAAGTTATTTATAAAAATAATAAAGGCAGGATAAAAAAAAAGAAAACATGTATATACAATCCATGGCACGCTCCCCCCACCCCAAACTCCAATATTTGCTGTATGGGAGCAAAATAGGCATGCCCTCCTCTCACACATTCTCCAGATAACCCATACACAAAAACTCCTTGAATACATAAGGAGGAAAGACAGAGGAGGAAACCCTTGACTTCTCTGGTCTCTCTTATTTCTGCCCCACCTTGTGAACACTGAGAAACGGGGGGAGAAATGAGACAGACTGCAGGGTTCTCTGGAAGAGGCAATCTTTGGATGCTGCTGCAGGAACATCCAGGAATCTGAACTCCTTGGGATATGGAGAACAGCAATGCTTGGAAAGGCCGAGGGTAGTAACTCCATGTCATTGGAATGGTACACTGTCCAGATTCATTCCCGGCACAAAGGTACTTTCCCAGGGAATGAAGGTAGAGAGTCTGCCCAGATTGGGGCTCAGAAGCCACAGAAGGTAAGGTTCAGTTGTTCCAAAGCCTCTAATGAACACTGGAAATTCACATGAACATGATTTATGAAGGTAATCACTAAATCAAGGTATTCCAGAACAACAAGCTAGGATACAGTGTCAGAGCTTATGCTTATTTGTCTGTATGGATTTATAGATTCTGATATTCTAAATAATTAGAATATATATTAATTGTTTCTGAAAATTGCCTCTAATTTTTGTTTCAAAAGTTTTATGTATTTGGTGCTGAGTCTTGTATGTTTTATTCTATCTCAAAGTATTTAGCCTCAGGTCCCACCCACAATGGATGTGTAGGAAACTGATGTTTGAGATGCCGCTTGTGATTTTATCAGGGCTAAATGTGTTATTCCATCCATTCGTCATTGCCCTGGACATTTGATTACCTAATGTAAAATGGATGTTGTACTTTTTATTTTTAATTAAAGTTTTAAATTGTAGATTGTTTTTGCCTTCTTTCAGAAGTAGGGATAGCTATTTTCTCTGTCACACATCTTAAAATTACTAGGGCCAGCTGATGATGCTACAGAGCTTCATATTCCATTACCACTAGTACTAGTGCTACTACTATTACTATTATGCCTAGTTTTCAGGAAAGTAACTTCTCAAATTGTGAGATGCCCTATCTCTTTTGTAAGCTGATGCTAAGGGAAGAAGAGCCAGGTCACAATATTTCCTTCCCTCAGGAAGATAACTGGTGGCAGTAGGGAAATACTACATAACTGGTGCACCAAGGAGGTAGAACCAAGGAGGTAGAACCAGGTTGTCACTCTTAGAGAACTTTTGGGAAGGGGGAGCAGAGACCTCTCTATCTTCCTCTCTATGGACACCCAGCCGTGTGTCACTATAGCATGGAACACATGTCTTTTTCAAAAGAGGAAGAAAGAATCTATCAAAAACAAAAATTATAAAGAAAACTAGACTGTAAAAACAGAAGTTATGTTAAACCTGAGTGAAGAAAAAAGTTTTCACATGATACAAAAACGGCCATTCAGATGACTCCTTAGAGAAAGGTGTTCTATCTTATGACTCGGTACTGAGCAAGGTATCACTTGATCCATCCACCTTATTTTATTTGGTGGGAGCATGAGTGCTAGGCTTCTGATGAAGATTTTATGGAAAAGATAAGCACACAAAGGAGAAAATGATCTTTAGGGTAGCCTAGTTCCATCTCATTAAAAGCTCTTTAAATTGGGCCCAGAAGGACCCCAGGATCTAATGCAAAGCACAACTAACAAAGCATTGGTAGCCTAAATTAATAATTTGCCAGTCTTTTTCCTGACCATCTGTAGTTTCAGAACTATTTTAAAAAGCAACAAATTGCAGAAGTTGAAATGAGACATTACAAAAGTGCAGGCAACTGTGGTTAAGCAATCATTTTGGGGTTATGGCACACATGGCACATCCGCTGACATCTCTAAATGACTATAGTAAATCAATAAACATTATTGCTAAACAGTAACTTCCATTCCCTTAAAGATAACCTACTTCAGCAACAGTGCAGTAACATGCTTCTGGTTCAGGTTTTACTTTTGTTGTACACTTAAAAGTGCCACTGTAAAGAAGCTGTTTTCTACCTCAGACTCACAGATGCAAAGAAGTAAGGCTGATACCTACAACAATGCTAAAACTTAGTACAATTAGCCTTTGAAAAAACACCCTTCAGCATAATACCTGATTTGTCTATTATGCTTAGGCATATTATGCATAATACAAACATACATTATGCTTTCTTGCAAGGATTGGTAAGAATTATTGAGTAAACAGTTTGCTCTTGAAGCTTCATCCAAATGTGTTGAATGAAAAAGCACTGTATTAATTGTGAGTTTCATAATATATTACACTCTAAAAGAGAAAACAGCTTTACTTAACTGAGGGTATTATATAAATACAGGTAGTCCTCGACTTATGATGTCAATTGGGACTGGAATTTCTGTTGCTAAGCGATGCGGTTGTAAAGTGTGACTGCATCACTTAGTGACAGCAATCCCTGCAGTCCTGGTTGCTGTTGTTAACTGATCCCACAGTCGTCAGGTGAGGCAACTTCTTGCAGGCTTTCCACAACCAAAGTCAGTGGGGAAGCCAGCAGGATGTTGTAAGTCCGAGGCTGGCAGATAGGTAAGTGGCTGCTGCCGGGTGGGGGAGGGAGAAAGGTGGTGCACAGGGGTGTGGGAGAGGGTGTGAGGGGTTGCACGAAAGGCATGGTGCAGGAAGGATGCGAGGGGGGTCATGTGGCACAGGTTGGGGAGTGCATGCAAGGGTCCACACAAGGGGTACAGTACGGGTTGGGGTGTGTGTGCAGGGTGTGTGAGAGATGTGGCGCAGGTCAGGTGCACAAGGGAGGTGTGGCAAGGGTCAAGGAGGGTGTGCGAGAGGTGTGGTGCAGGTCAGGTACACGAGGATGCGAGGGAGGCATGGTGTGGGCTGGGTGCATGAGGACACACAAGAGGCAGGGTGTGGGTCAGGAAGGGTGTGAGAGGCATGGTGTCGGTCAGGGAGAGTGAATGAGGGAGGGTGTGGCACAGGTCAGAGGGTGCAAGGGAGACACAGTGAGGGTTGGGGAGGGTGTGTCAGTGGCTGACGCAGTGTAAGCACAGAGGATCTGGGGGAGGGTGTGCAGGTAGGGGACACTTACCCTAGTGACTTGCAACCTTCCTTGCTGGCTTCCCCTTTGACTTTCTGGGGAAGCTGGCAGAGAAGGTTGCAAATGGCGATCATGTGATTGTGGGGTGCTGCAACCAGGTGTAAGTGCCAGATTGCGATCACGTGACTGTGGAGGTGCTGGGACAGCCAGAACTCCAAGGACTGGTCATAACCACCATTAATTCAGCTCCATCGTAACTTCAGTCACTGAACAAATGGTCACAAGTTAAGGACTACCTGTAGGCAATAGTCTAGTGAAACCAGGGGAATATTGCTCTGCGTGAGTCATAGGGGTCACACACATAAACACAAAGGATGGTTACCTGCTAGAATCTTAATGACTTCCATAAGATTTAACTGCAAAAATGAAAAATGCTTTTTTTATAATCAGAGAGAATATGCATTTAGTCTGTATTACTCTAGTTACAGTTCAGCAGTACATAACTTTAAAAGACTCCAACATAAACATTTAAATGCTTATGAGCTACTGCCTAAGAGCTAGAAGCAGCGCAATAGGATTCTTGCCATAAGCAATAGATTAGGGCTAGATCTGGTCTTGCTAAAAGCCTAATACATGCAAGGGTGCATTCAAGATACTGGCATATACAGTACAGTGCATTCAGAATCTATGCATGCCAAATATCCACTTCCTTGTGGCCTTCACAGTAAAACTCTGCATTTATTTGAACAAAATACTGGGCATGCAAATACCTACATGACTTCAGGAGGATTCTCTGTAGTCCTATGTCTTGTCTGACATCTATTGATTCACTGACAGATTCACATCAACCCTGACAAATCAGTGATCTGTGGCTTTGTTAGGAGACATATAGGTATGTGAGTTTGAAGATCGCTTTTCTACAATGGGTGGAGGGCCATTACAGTGGATACTAAAAGTCCAGGAACCCTTGTAAGATACCAAGCAGCATAAAAATGTGGGCTGGTTAAATGCCTTTCAGATAACCCCAGATTCAGTTCTAGTAACTTCACTTAAAATAGTATTAGCTAGCATGGTTCTCATCAGGCACTTTCTAATGTCACACAGTCACAAATAGGATATAGCATTGGAATAAACTGTCTGAAGCTGCAAAAATTAACTTTCTAAGTTACTATTAGTCAAACAGGAACAACAGACATGCACTCTTTATGTAGCAGCATACTGTGTAATTATTGAACTAAGAAGTGTAGCAAGGTTACACAATATATAAATAAGCACAGATTTCTCATTTACAGTGAAGTTAGTGACTAGCCTCTTTAGCTTAAAAGCAGATATTTATGTACAAAATAAAGAAGCAGGCTTCTGCTAAATAATTTAATGAGAGCAGTTGCATCTGCCTGTATTTCACTGCCTGCCTTCAGATTGCTAAGCATTTGATCATTAGGCTATTAACATGAAAAATATTTTAATTCAAATCAGTTTTATTTAAATTGTAACAAATATTACAACATATGAACTTACAGAGATTGTATTGACAGAAATATAATATACAACTTCTAGTTTCACATTTTGCTCCCATTCATTATAAACAACTGTAAGCATCAACCTTGAAAGAATAGTCCTTTGGCAGTTGCACAGAAAATTCCAGAATGAAAATAAACCTCAACTAGAATAACCTTATAAAAGTCTTCAAACCATTTCTACTTGGTTGTACTCTGATTTTATCCCCATGCTTGATAATGTTGGAATTGGCATAAAAATGTTGAGGGCAAAACAGTTATTCTACTTGGGATATATCTGGGGGGTGGGGGTGGGGGACCTGTATCTGCAGTGTTTTAGGGCACAGATTGGATTACAGAAGTAATCATATTATACAACTCAGTCACAGAAAGTATTCTTCAAGCTAGAATACTGGTCCTTCATTTTTCTTGATACCACAAGCATGGACACAGTACAATGTTAAAATTTGTCCTGCTCACTCATTCTCTTGTAACACAGACCTGTGGAAATGGAAGGCAGAGTTCAAAGATTTAAAGTTTTACAAAGATATACAGTATCATATAGTACTTCTACATGATACAGAGCCTCAAAACCCATAATTATCCTTTAAGTCATTGCCTAGAAGTTTCTAGTCAAGGTTGCATGGTGGAATTGTCCTCATCAAAAATGATAGAGAAATATAGGCTTGGTCTAACGGGATTTTTACCACAATTTATTGTTCACTTGCATAGGTAGAAAAATAATACATATAGGATAAAAAAATAACACATTATTTTGTTCTAAGTGGCCAGCAGTTTAATATTAAATTTACATTTCTGTTATAAAAAGAAAAAAGAAGAAAAATCATTGTAAGCCACCTTGAGCATTTATTCAAATAGAAACGTAGGGTATAAATTTAATGATAAAATACATAGAAGGTCCACAGTTACAACTGGCTTCCTTAAATTTATTTCCTCAATCCCAGTTAGCCTTTCTTTTACCTCCATCAAGATAAAAAGGGGTTCCCAGATTTTCTGCAGTATTCATAATATGTTTTTCATACTGACAAGAATCTTTAAGATGCAACCATTATCTCTTGTTCCAATGCAAGAATTTTGCCTCTATTAAGAAAAAGGGCACACCTTCATGCACACATCAGGCATTCTTTGCAGCCCTGGTCAAAGGTAATTTTCCAGCCAACCAACTGTGCTTTGATATTAGTTACAGAATGTCCTGCTAACAGACAACTCCAAGGAGACCAAAGGAGAGCAAGTGGCAGGAAAGCAACATGAAAGAATGGATTGAGTTATACTCACTACTTTTTATTTCTAGGTTTTAATTCTTCAGCAGCATTGCGGAGAAAAATATAGTTTTTCTTTTGTGGATTATAGAACTCATGCCCCTGGCAAAAAAAAAAGGTTGAACACAGCATTACAGATAAACCTGAATAACAGTGTTACAAATTAGGCATATAATATTTGTGATATTCAATTACATTTTACTTCAAAATTATTGAGCATTCATTAACGCTATAGAAACCTTTACCCCAGAATAAACAGCATTTGTTCCTTGACTTAAAACTTTACGTGAAAATATATCTTAAAAAAGCAGTTTCTGCTTTTAAATACCTATATAAAGGTCTATAAACAAGAGAAATTCAGGTTGACAGCTAAAAAGCAAGATCAAAAGGAAAAAAACAATTATAGGAAGAAATATGGCAATTCTGACTAAAATAAGTTGAACCTAAGTATGAATGTAATTGACATCATGGTAGAAAATGAGCAAGCAATTTATTCAAGCTAAGATATAAAACTATCCACTGTAAGAAATATTGATTTGTCAACAACCAAGGTCTTGTTTGTTGTCTGTCTGGCTTGTGGAAGTGACTGCACTATGTACTACCCTCCAGTCTATCAACATTTGCTGCATGAACATACACAGTATGATTAAACATACTAGGAATGTAGGAAACTGCCTTTAATTAAATGAAGTCATTTAATTTATCCAATTTAGTGCTGTTCACTTTAAAAATAGGAGGGCCTTTCTTAGCCCTACTTGAAAAAAAGGCTTGTGCAACTGAGACATCCAGGTAGTCCTCGGGTTACAACCACTCGTTCAGCAACCATTCAAAGTTATGACGGTGCTGAACAAGGGGGACTTACGACTGGTCTGCGAAGCCGCAGCTGTCACAGTGTCCTCCAGTCACGTGATCATGATTCAGTTGCTTGGCAACCAGCTCGCAGTTATGACGCTTGCAGTGTCCTGAACTGCAGTCACTTGATTGCAATTCAAGCGCTTGGCAATTTGCTCACAATTACGATAGTCGCAGCATCCTGAAGTCATGTGATAGCCATTTGTGACCTTCCCTGCTGGCTTCCCACAAGCAAAGTCAATGGGGAAGCTGGCAGGAGACCACAAGTCCCCCTTTTTCTCCTGCCCACCCTCCATAATCCACCCAGGGCACCCACCTGCCCATCCACATTCTGTAGCACCCACCCTCAGCACCTGACTGCTTGCCTGTGCTCCGTAGCGCCCACCTGTGGCACCTATTCCCCTGCCTGTAGTTTCCACCCGCCAGACTACTTGCCTGGGACTTCCGCCTCTTACCATGTCACGGTCGCTCATTTAATGACCCGCACAGTCCTGGGGTTACAATGGCAACTGGGATTGCTGGGATTGCTGTTGCTAAGCAATGTGGTCATCTGATGTTGCACTTTACAACCACATTGCTTAGTGATGGGAATTCTGGTCCCAATTGCCATTGTAACCCAAGGACTACGTGTAGTTCTGTCAACTACAGGGTGAAAAGGAGAACATAAGGCAAAGTTATATATGTTGGCAGCAGCCCCATATTTTAAGAAAAATCTATTCATACCATGGATAATCTACTAATTTTTCCAATAACTCTTTATTGATATCCATCAACAGAATATGCAACACAACTGCAAAAGATCTATAGGAGGTTCAGTAGTTCCACCTTCTTACCTGTGGCACTTCAGTTATAATTCCCTACAAAAGTTATAATTCCCTACATATTTATAATTCCCTACATATTTATAATTATAATTCAGTTATAATTCCCTACAAAAACTTACCACTGATTTTCTACTTGATACCAAGTCTTGCACCAACTTAAGATGGGGTTTAGTGGCAGCAAAATGCAAAGATAGTATTTGATGTGAATTCTTTTCTGAATCATGTATAATGCTTAATGACTATCATTACCAGATATCTGAAAAAGAGATTTTTCCTTACAAAAATGAGGCTGATGTTCTGGAAGTTTTCAAATTTGTGGACACAGTACTCACTCACAACATTTTGTTCATAATAGCAGTTATACAAGTAGTCCTCACTGAACGACTATTTGTTCAACGACCATTCAAAGTTATGACAGTGCTGAATGAATGGTATTTACAACTGGTCCTCGAAATTACAGCTGTTGCAGTGCCCCTGAGGTCATGAGATCAAAATTCAGACACTTGGCTGCCCACTGCATTTATGACTGCAGGGTGTGCTTCAACTCCCCCCACCTACCTATCTCCCCATCTCTGCCCTTTTGGCTGCCTTGCACTCTGCTGCCCCTGCATGCCCGCTGCCCTTCGTCGTCCTCTTCCTCCCTCTGCTATCAAGGCATGTCTGGCCTGGCCGTGCAATGTTTTCTCAAGGGTGGAGTGCAAGGCAGCAGGGGTGGCAGAGTACAGTGGCCAAAAGGGCAGAGATGGGGGAGACAGGCAGGTGGGGAGAATTGAGGCAAAGGAGAGCGTGGCAGGGCAGAAGCGTGAGGTCCTGGCCTGACGACTGCAACCAGGACTACCTAAACTGCTGTCGCTAAGCAGTACGGTCACATGATGCTTCTCCTAATAGGCTGAAGAATAGCTTCTATCTTAGAGCTGTAACTATACTGAATTCTACCGTATAGT